CAAAACCAGACCATGGCTATAAAATACAGTCAGCGGAGGCCAGTATGACACACAACCAGACCTTAGCTTTAAAATACAGTCAGGGGAGGCCAGTAAGACACACAACCAGACCGTGGCTATAAAATACAGTCAGGGAAGGCCAGTATGACACACAAACTGACCGTGGCTATAAAATACAGTCAGGGGAGGCCACTATGACACACAACCAGACCGTGGCTATAAAATACAGTCAGGGGAGGGCTGTATGACACAAAACCAGACCGTGGCTATAAAATACAGTCAGGGGAGGCCAGTATCACACACAACCTGACCGTGGCTATAACATACAGTCAGGGGAGGCCAATATGACACAAAACCTGACCGTGGCTATACAATACAGTCAGGAGAAGCCAGTAAGACACACAACAAGACCGCGGCTATAAAATACAGTCAGTTGAGGCCAGTATGACACACAACCAGACCGTGGCTATAAAATACAGTCAGGGGAGGCCAGTATGACACACAACCAGACCATGGCTATAAAATACAGTCAGGGGAGGCCAGTATGACACAAAACCTGACCGTGGCTATACAATACAGTCAGGAGAAGCCAGTATGACACATAACCAGACAGTGGCTTTAAAATACAGTCACGGGAGGCCAGTATGACACAAAATATGACCGTGGCTATAAAATACAGTCAGGGAAAGCCAGTATGACACACAACCAGACAGTGGCTATAAAATACAGTCAGGGGAGGCCAGTATGACACAAAATATGACCGTGGCTATACAATACAGTCAGGGGAGGCCAGTATGACACACAACCTGACCGTGGCTATAAATACAGTCAGGGGAGGCCAGTATGATACACAACCAGACCTTAGCTATACAATACAGTCAGGGGAGGCCAGTATGACACACAACATGACCGTGGCTATAACATACAGTCAGGGGAGGCCAGTTTGACACAAAACCAGACCGTAGCTATACAATACAGTCAGGGGAGGCCAGTATGATACACAACCAGACCTTAGCTATACAATTCAGTCAGGGGAGGCCAGTATCACACACAACCTGACCGTGGCTATAACATACAGTCAGGGGAGGCCAATATGACACAAAACCAGACCGTGGCTATACAATACAGTCAGGGGAGGCCAGTAAGACACACAACCAGACCGTGGCTATAAATACAGTCAGGGGAGGCCAGTAAGACACACAACCAGACCGTGGCTATAAAATACAGTCAGGGGAGGCCAGTATGACACACAACATGACCGTGGCTATAAATACAGTCAGGGGAGGCCAGTATGACACACAACCAGACCATGGCTATAAAATACAGTCAGGGGAGGCCAGTATGACACAAAACCTGACCGTGGCTATACAATACAGTCAGGGGAAGCCAGTATGACACACAACCAGACAGTGGCTATAAAATACAGTCAGGGGAGGCCAGTATGACACAAAACCTGACCGTGGCTATACAATACAGTCAGGGGAAGCCAGTATGACACACAACCAGACAGTGGCTATAAAATACAGTCAGGGGAGGCCAGTATGACACAAAACCTGACCGTGGCTATACAATACAGTCAGGGGAAGCCAGTATGACACACAACCAGACAGTGGCTATAAAATACAGTCAGGGGAGGCCAGTATGACACAAAACCTGACCGTGGCTATACAATACAGTCAGGGGAAGCCAGTATGACACACAACCAGACAGTGGCTATAAAATACAGTCAGGGGAGGCCAGTATGACACAAAACCTGACCGTGGCTATACAATACAGTCAGGGGAAGCCAGTATGACACACAACCAGACAGTGGCTATAAAATACAGTCAGGGGAGGCCAGTATGACACAAAACCTGACCGTGGCTATACAATACAGTCAGGGGAGGCCAGTATGACACACAACCTGACCGTGGCTATAAATACAGTCAGGGGAGGCCAGTATGACACACAACCCGACCTCGGCTATAAAATACAGTCAGGGGAGGCTAATATGACACACAACCCGACCTCGGCTATAAAATAAAGTCAGGGGAGGCCAATATGACAGCCAACATGACCGTGGCTATAAAAACAATAAGAGAAAACTGAAGTATCAACAAAACCATACATCGAACTCAAAATCGATAAAGTAGAGGAAAATATGAACAAAGGAAACATTGCATGGTAACCCTTGGAAAAAGTACAAGGAAAATTAGACCAGGTGTTCAGGAAGGGTAAGCGTTTCCTGCTTCATCGACGATACATCTTTTGTTAATCTAGTTCAAATGTAACTAAATCCATGTCCTCATCAAAACCTCGGGTAGTGACGATCCGCGTGGATGTAACACATCGACATTCCAAGGGGAGTAAATTCGAATACATATGTTGGTGCAGTATGGCCATGTTAATGATTGGGTTAAAAGCCATTCATGGTAATCATTTGGACGAGAATTTCACCATTCATACCGCATTCATTGGTTGACGGCATTGCTCGTTGTACGTAAAACTGAACACATGTGGTATTCACCTGACAGCATCCGTGTCCATCTGTGTCCATCTGTGTCCATCCGTGTCCATCTGTGTCCATCCGTGTCCATCCGTGTCCATCTGTGTCCATCTGTGTCCATCCGTGTCCATCCGTGTCCATCCGTGTCCATCTGTGTCCATCTGTGTCCATCTGTGTCCATCCGTGTCCATCTGTGTCCATCTGTGTCCATCCGTGTCCATCCGTGTCCATCTGTGTCCATCTGTGTCCATCTGTGTCCGTCCGTGTCCATCTGTGTCCATCTGTGTCCATCCGTGTCCATCCGTGTCCATCCGTGTCCATCTGTGTCCATCTGTGTCCATCTGTGTCCATCCGTGTCCATCTGTGTCCATCCGTGTCCATCCGTGTCCATCTGTGTCCATCTGTGTCCATCTGTGTCCGTCCGTGTCCATCTGTGTCCATCTGTGTCCATCCGTGTCCATCCGTGTCCATCCGTGTCCATCTGTGTCCATCTGTGTCCATCTGTGTCCATCCGTGTCCATCTGTGTCCATCTGTGTCCATCTGTGTCCATCCGTGTCCATCTGTGTCCATCCGTGTCCATCCGTGTCCATCTGTGTCCATCTGTGTCCATCTGTGTCCATCCGTGTCCATCTGTGTCCATCTGTGTCCATCCGTGTCCATCCGTGTCCATCCGTGTCCATCTGTGTCCATCTGTGTCCATCTGTGTCCATCCGTGTCCATCTGTGTCCATCCGTGTCCATCCGTGTCCATCTGTGTCCATCTGTGTCCATCTGTGTCCATCCGTGTCCATCTGTGTCCATCCGTGTCCATCCGTGTCCATCTGTGTCCAAAGCCTCGTGCGAAAGTTGTTTTTGGCCGATTGCCGAAACAGATCTAATATCTATAAGGTAGGATAAATCCTAAGAGATGATATGAGCACCGTATATTTGAACTTCATTTTACATCCTTTTTAATTATCCCAAATTAACATCGAGATTGAGATATATGAATTAATGAAAATTATACATTGTGAAGTCTGTATAAGGCTTAAAAGCAAATTCCTTAACAAAAGTAGTTCATCGACATTATAACACGCTGTTCTGTTTTGATACCAATCTGAGTTCTACGAAATGACACCTTATCAAAAGTGAATACATATATATATGAAGAGCCCCAAGATGGGCGAAAGCGCTAGCCGATTATACAAGTCTTCGTGTTTTATTTTATGATATATATATAGGGTCATAGGGCTGACTTTCCCTTTTTCTAACTATTGAGAGACATGCCTGCCTCAAATCAGGATGAGTTTAACCGGTCGGAGCTCAAATGTCTGCATATTTAAACAGTAGATTGGACCTTGATTAATAAAACAACTTTAGATTATGTATAATTTCAAAACGCCAACATAACATCATGTTGTTATGATTGAGTTTACACGTATATGAAAATTGTCAATAGGAAGTAAAATGTCATGATGAAGTAATTTTCATGAAGGTATCAGCCTTCGTGTATCACAATGTCCTAAGGTTGATTGGTTCCGTGTCGTTTTGATAACTGATATCAGCACATACATCAGATTGGTATCAAACAGGAACCATTGTATAGACTGAGGTCTTAGTATTGCAATGGGAGGGGGGGGGGGGGTAATTTACTGTTCCTTTATGCCTCCAAACCAGGACAGGAAAAAAACACGTGTATAACTTGTTTAGTCCAGGTATTGCACAGAATTTAGGTTACATATTTCATAAAAACTAATAGTAACATTTAAGCTAGTAGAGCAAATAAAACACCATTGCAGTGATTATCATGACTTGATTTCTATCTTTGAGACTTTTGTGTCCACAATGAGTGATGATGACAGGTCCAGCGACTCCCTACCCTTCCAAGTCACATTATCCCGCCTCAATACAGCTGCATGGGTTTATGCTGTCTTTCCATTTTTATGTCTCCTCAGTTCCGGTTGTTGACATAACAATCGATTTTAAGTTTGGTATATATCCTTTTGTGGTTTGCACTGTGGTACATGTATATCTTTTTCTGTAAGAAATCGGAATGTGAAGTGTTTTTATTCAGTTCTTGGTGATAATAGTTGATATAACACTTTAGTTGATATCGTTATCGTGTAACGAAATGTCAAATCAGAAACAATGCTGCCAAATGTTTTGTTAAATCCAGTGAAAAATGTCGTCCCTTTAAAAAAAATCGAGCTTCAGGTTCACGCTATTCATCATGACAAAATTCAATGTATTTTTGGTGTAAATTCGCATTACGCTGGAGTAGTCTCCCTTTGATCTGAATTTTGTTCTTGCAACATTATAACAAAAGAACTCTGTATGTATATACACACAGAAAATCAAATTTCTTCACTACATACATACAATATTATACATTTTTTATGATTTTCTGTGTGTACATACAAAACATTCAATATTATACATTTTATATTGTTGTCTGTGTGTATATATACAATGCATACAATATTTTTGTGTGTATTCATTTACAATGTTTTGTGTTCAAAAGATGTATTCAGCGTATGTTATTGATGTATGCTATTTATGATGCGCTGCCAAATTAATGTAGAATTAAAAAAGAAAACCAGTCATTTGAATATCACATTTTATGCTAAATATATAGCTTGACCCGTGAAAACAATTTGATTGCTTAAAAAATATTTGAGTAACGCTACATGCTAAACCAGTGTACGCCGTGAAGTGAGACTCCTCTTACAATTCACACATCTGCCACTTCGTTCACACTTACATAATGTAATAATACCATGTAAATACCCAGATCTCGCTAATCCCTAAGAAACCTTATCGACGCGCATTTCGTCGGACTCTGCAATACTGTTAACTTGCAGCAACAGAGCCCCCACGTCCGTCAGGTCCCATGGTATCTCATATGTACTCATCTGGCGCGTGAGGACTGGTTTTGTGGGTTTTGTTTTTCCTTTGTGTACGACATTGTTTTGTGACGGTCTATCTGGGTAGGATTGACTAAAGTGTTCTGTCAGGTTATCAGAGGAAATATTTCGTGACTTTTTCACTTGTCCAATTCCTCCGTACTGTGCTTTGACAGGTACGTTCATGTCTTTTCCTTTTAACGAAGGCTCACTTTCTAACTGACGTTTCCTATGTTCGCTTTTTCCAGATGAATTTTCCGGTTTTGGATTTGATTTGAAAACAATTTTAGCGTGACGACTTTTTCCCCTGTCTGTGACGGATGGCGCAGGTCTATCGCCCCTGTCTGTGACGGATGACGCGGGTTTATCGCCCCAGTCTGTGACGGATGGCGCGGGTGTATCGCCTATGTATATCGTTGTAATTTCCTTTCCACGCCCGCCATATTTTCTTCGGTGCACTTCGTCTTCAATAACAATAGACTTTTCTATAACAGAGAAGTTCCTATCTTGGGGAGACTTTTCCTTAACAGAAACATGTTTGTCTTCATTTTTATGAGAACTAATGTTATCAGACACTTTGCTGTCCTCTATCACAACCGCTACTGATGTAGACTTGTCTGTCGGTGCATTCCTCTCGTTTGAGCAAGACGATGTGTCCTCCGTTATCACCTGGATGGCATCCTCCTCGTCAACACGGGTCGTTATAATCGTTGGGAGTTTCGCCTTACTAGTTCCCGGACGAATATCCTCTGCCACGTCACTACGATGTTGAGCCACATTTGACGAAGACATTTTGCTATTGGTACTATCAACTGTCTGATAATCTACTTTTCTTTCGGGATCAGTAACATTTTCTGAGAAATGTATTGGTTTAGCTTTGTACCCGACAACATCCTGTTTCGGTTTGCTAGTTCCCTCCGCCGTGTCTTTATCTAAGAGTTGGTACGTCTTTACGTCCCCATTGCTCGCCACGATCTTTTGTACCTCACCACTGTTCCGATCCTCCAGGGACAAGGCTATGTTCTTATCTATTCCGACCATTTGCGACACGTCGAATTTGACAATTCCCTCTAGCCTTAATACGACCACATTTCCGTCTTTGACTGTGGCTGATTTCTTAACGTTGCCATGGTGAGAATGATCTAACTCCTCATCGTCCACAAAGGCAGGGTTGAGCTGACCATCTCCCGAAAACAGGGACAGATCAACGTCAGATAAATCGTCGGCCTTTCCAGCCCCACGTTTCTCATCCAATGTCGGTTTTGTGCGTTTTGGTAATGCTTTGCCAGTCTTAATTTCCATAGGTTCCAGTTTCTTCAGGTTGGTTACGTGTGAAAAATTCTCGCTATTCATAGAAACCCTCTGTAGATTGTTGTTGTCACTATGACTGTCTGAATCAGAGTCCTTGCGGCGACTGAAACATTACATTCACAAATATTTGTTTAATCAGTTGAGGTAAACAGTTCAGCGCATTTATTGTTCTAACAGAATGAGGAATTGATTTTGTTCTTTAAACTCGTGTATTGTCATTCCTTTGAACTGCACAAGATAATCGATAGTTGTTTTCTTTATGTAAGTGCACAGTGTCGATTGCAATTCGTTGTTGAATGTATAATTATTTCATGAAACCCAAGGGAAGTCTTTACTTTTCTGATTGTTAATTCAATGTTACATGGCGCTCGATTATAGCATACACCCGCTGTCCCTGACAGACACCAACAGTCTAGATATAAGGGCTGCGATCGCATGCAGACAGCTTACCTGACGGCAAATGTTAACCTATAAGATACATTAAACGTTAAAATATTAAGTTAGAAGTATTGAGGGAATCTTACCTGAAGAAGCGGTATGCTACAATGAATACCAGAATTGCCGCTATAAGCACTCCTCCGATAGAAAGCCCCACGGCTAGCCCACTGCCACCATCACTACCTAGAACATGTCATACAAACATCTGTCACTATCCATAACAAAACACAATGAATATATAATTATCTAATATGAATTTGTGTATTGATACAAATATCTCTAACAGGAAGTATTTACGTACTCTGATACAGTGCGTTTGTTATACGATATAGGTATTTTAGTGTGCGTCCTGGTTACATAAATTATTTGAATCCTGATCTCTGAAATGCTTTATTATAAATCGTGATATTTTATTGTGTGACCTTGTTACAACAATGCTTCACTGTATAGTCGCATAACGGTTGTATCATGCTTAGAGAAAAACTTAGTGAGTCCTGGTCACATAAACACTTGAATCCTGGTCACATAAACACTTGAATCCTGGTCATAGAACAATTTTTTTCATTGTTACTCTACATTCCAGAAGTATTAAAGGAATGTTGATTTTGAAAAACTCAAAAGATCGTTTGGTCAATATTGAGCATCATCTTATCAAATATGTTGCTTCCAAGAGTTCATTGTGAACATTTACACTACATATCTCATTTCAAACTGCCTCCATTTATTACGAAATGTAAAGAGTGACAGACCTATACAAATGTAAACTATTTTGATTAAGAACAATAAAGGCCAAGATAAAATATACTGAGGAATAAATAGAGAAACCTTAAGTTGTTTTTGTATGCAATATATTTGTTGAAATCGGCTTCAAGACTTTCCGGTAGAAAGTAGGCACTCCTAATATGCATATGATAATACTGTGCCCCTCACGTAGCAAACGTGTTTTTTCTTCCAGGTGAAGTCTAATTTATTGAAAATCCTATCAAGACTGATAGGAAAATGTTCAATTTCACATTCGGAAAATCGACTAGGCGCTGTCTTTGAATAACAATACATTAATTGACCCCTATAGTGTGAACATCAGCATCACATCAGTTCCTAAGTGTGGCAACCTGTGATTACCTACAACATAACCAAAACAGACCGTTTACAACTAAACTGCACGATAACAGGGACTCATTTGATGTTTTGATCATGAAGTTTCCCCTTTCTTGACAGTACTATCCCCACATTCCCGACATACGTTGTTTACATGTCGCGGATGATTCGGTTTTCAAGAACTTGCTTAGAATATCACTATTTCCGTAATAGATGACGACGACTGACGGATAAACTTCCAACACAACCGTTTCGACAGATGTGAATAATGATGATGATTGGCAAGCTCTAGGGTCGTCATCCTTATCTTATTGAGAAATATTACATATATCGCTGTGTGATTTGAGTGGTTATGTTTTGGTTAATTTGCAATCACAGCCCTGGTTTTCGATTTGAGAACGCGACATTACTTGAACTAGACCTAGATTTACATGGCGAATGGCTTCGATGAAGCGGACGACGCTTCCCCTTAGGAAACACTTGGTCTTGGTCTCCTTGTACTTTTCAGTGGTCTCTTCCTTTAATTTTTTTCATTGTAAATATTGTCCATAGTTTTATCGATTTTATGAATTTTCTTTGGCCCTCCGGTATTTCCATATTGTTATTTTGCATCCATGTCACAGAAATATTCAATGAAGTACCCTGGTCGTAAACGTACTCGATAGTGATGCTTTAAATGACATTATGCAGTATTTCCATAAAAACACATTATCGTGACATTGACTCAATTTGAATGAGTTAATATACTTCATATGAGACACTTTTAATTTTTACTCAAACAAATAAAAGGAGAGAGGATATATTTGCGCAGATAGATGAAATCATTACCGCTTCCGTCGCCATTATCTGCTAGTCCTGCCGTAGTAGACGTTTCTGAGCTTGCGTTATTCATTTGCGCAGCAGCTTACAATATCCATGTCTGGAAAAGAAAAAAATATGGCTACTTGTGATTGATGAAGACAGATAAAATTTTATATTACGATATTCATCCTTTGATCGCGGTATTCGTTTATTGATCCTGGCATATAGAGGTATCTTATAGAATCGTATATAACGATACAAACCCAGTGTGTTTGACTCTATGCTGACGTACTTCAATCCGCACGCATATAGAACTTTTAATAACAGGGCTTTAACAGAGCCATGCTGATTTTATTGGATAGTTTTTAGACTGTTATTCCGGTCATTTTTCTGATCAGGAATTAGAACTTTTGATACTAAACAAAATATTGTACAAAATTCTCCATCCTTTAAACAAAAGGATTTTCTTTAAATCAATAGCAACCAGTTATGTCAATAACCCAAACCCCGCCTCACGTAAGAAAACTAAATGAGTGGCATTTATAAAAATGTCACAACAATGTAAGGTAACAAATGATCACATAAATGGTAGTTTTATTCAAATGGTAGTTAACATATATGGTATATATGTGTATGTATACAGGTGTTAGTTATATACAGGCAGGTGGTTGTTATAGACATACGGTATTTATAATAGACAGGTGGTAGTTATAGACAGGTGGTAGTTATAGACATACGGTATTTATAGACAGTTGGTTGTTAGAGAAATAATATACAGGTGGTATATATAGACTGGTAGTTATAGACATATGGTAGTTATAGACATGGTTTTTATAGACAGGTGGTGGTTTTAGACATCCGGTATTTATAGACATATGGTAGCTATAGACATACGGAATTTACAGACATGTGGTGGTTATAGACATGGTATCCATAGACAGGTGGTATATATGGACTGGTAGTTATAGACAAGGTATCTATGACAGGGGGGATTTATAGACAGGTGGGATTTATAGACAGATGATAGTTATAGACATTGTAGGGGGAGACAGGTGGTAGTTATTAACATACGGTATTTATAATAGACAGGTGGTAGTTTTAGACATTGTATCTATCGACAGGTGGTAGTTATAGACCTTGTATCTATAGACAGTTGGTAGTTATAGACATGTGGTAGTTATAGGCAGGTGGTTGTTATAGACATGGTTTTTATAGACAGGTGGTTGTTATAGACATGGTTTTTATAGACAGGCGGTAGTTATAGACATTGTATCTATAGACAGGTGGTAGTTATAGACATTGTATCTATAGACAGGTGGTACATGTAGTTATAGACATGGTATCTATAGACCGGTGGTAGTTATAGACATTGTATCTATAGACAGGTGGTAGTTATAGACATGGTATCTATAGACAGGTGGTATTTATAGACAGGTGGTAGATATAGACAGGTGGTAGATATAGACAGGTGGTAGTTATAGACAGGTGGTAGTTATAGACATACGCTATTTATAGACATGGTATTTATAGACATGTGGTAGTTATAGACAGGTGGTAGTTATAGACATACGGTATTTATAGACAGGTGGTAGTTATAGACAGGTGGTAGTTATAGACCGGTGGTAGTTATAGACATGGTGTTTATAGACAGGTGGTAGTTATAGACATACGGTATTTATAGACAGGTGGTAGTTATAGACATGGTATCTATAGACAGGTGGTAGATATAGACAGGTGGTATTTTTAGACAGATGGTAGTTATAGGCATGGTATCTATAGACAGGTGGTAGTTATAGACATTGTATCTATAGACAGGTGGTAGTTATAGACAGGTGGTATCTATAGACAGATGGTAGTTATAGACAGGTGGTAGTTATGGACATGGTATTTATAGACATGGTAGTTATAGACATGTGGTAGTTATAGACATGGTATCTATAGACATGTGGTAGTTATAGACAAGGTATCTATATACAGGTGGTAGTTATAGACAGGTGGTAGTTATAGACATGGTTTTTATAGACAGGTGGTGGTTTTAGACATACGGTATTTATAGACAGGTGGTAGGTATAGACATGGTATTTATAGACATGTGGTAGTTATAGACATACGGTATTTATAGACAGGTGATAGTTACAGACATGTGGTAGTTATAGACAGGTGTTAGTTATAGACATGGTGTTTATAGACAGGTTGTAGTTATAGACAGGTGGTATTCATAGACAGGTGGTAGATATAGACAGGTAGTAGTTATAGACATAAGGTAATTGAGGACAGTCGGTATTATTAGACATGTCATAGTTAAGACATTTAGTAGTTGTTACCAGGTGGAAGTCTTAAATAAGTGGTTATTATATGCAATCAGTAGCTACAAACATGATGTTTGACAAAATAAAAATATTTTCAATGAGATCATTAGTCTGTAATTAATTTACTTTGGCATGCGGATGCTAGCAGTGCCATGATGTTTCACGTTGAAGACAATGAGTGACTAGCAGAAGTTATCTTCGTCTAGTACGGATCGTAGGTCTCTTCTTACCAGATAGTATCGGTAGATGTATAATTAAAAGAATTCTGTTTGCTACAAACAAGAAATTACTGATTGATTTTCCATCAAACATCAAATTAATTGAACTTGGAGGAAGCTTTCGTATGTTTTCCTCGACATTCTTACTAATGTATGGGACTGTGGTATGGCGTGTTTCATCTGCCAAGGTATATCTCCGAGCACTTGTCTGATGATAAGAGGAAACAAACCTTATCAGAGGAACTCGGCCAGAGTATCAATAAATTATCTATAGTATGCCCATTGGAAAACATAAAGAAAATGCTATTTTGTTCTTTATCTAATCTACTTTTATATGTTTATATTCTTACAACTGTAATTAACTGTACATAGAAAATACTCTATGTTACATTAACGTATAACTGTTCTCTATTGTATACTGTAAATAGAATGTAAACATGTAAACATATACTAGTTATAACTGTACATGTAATATCTAAGTGTTACTCTTGTAAACACTATGTATAAATAATAATGATATACAGCATTTGATATAGCGCCCTATCTAGCTAACATAAGTCACTCTAAAGCGCTTTACAGTACATATATATACAATTAATACAATTTACATTTACATCAATCAATACCATTTAGAGGAATTCGCAGGAGCTGTCTTAACAGGCGCTAACTACTAGTCCTATGCCACCTGGCTAATACATCCATATGTGTGTATACCTGCGTGTGGGCTGGAGATGTAATGTATTCTGTTTGTAGTGGGACCGTGCTTCCAATGGCATCATGTATATGTAGTGCCATCTCACTTGAATGTTACAGCACAGATACCGGAACATCCACCCCAGACCAATGTACAGTTGTGGGATCACACAACGTTACACGATGTGCGGTGTGCGCACGATGTGTGCACGGTGTGTGAACGGTGTGTGCACGATGGGCGAACGATAAAAAGCTGAACGATCATTGCTTGCGCACATATGTGCGCACGATGGACGGACGTTGTGCGATAACAATCGTGGTTGGTGTAAATTGAGGAATGCCTTAACAATTTATACGGTTTCTTGTTAAACATATAAACTTGATGTTTACGTATATTTCTATATTCTA